CACACTGACAGCAACAATGGGAATTATATTGGAATAATACAATTTTTAAAGCTGTACTTACAAAAAAAAAAAAAAAAAAAAGAAAAAGAAAAAACACCCTTTTGATCTCCGATTAAGTGTTCCAGGTAATTTCACATCATCATTTAGTCTTTCTCCAACACCAGACTGAAAACTGTTAAATCCCCTCTTCTGCGGAAGCTACCTGATCTATAAATAAAGAACATGTTCTTACAAAGAAAGCGTTCTTATTGATTGGCAAGACGCATTGTTACCGTTTCATTGTTCTTGATCATTATACGCTTCTCTCCTGACAGAATTTTTTTATTCATCAACAAGTTAGAGAGTTGCAAACTTTGCAAAGGCTTTTCCCTTCCAACCATACCTGTAGGGGATGTTGTCCCCTGGCCAGAAGCAAGGTTTAACCCAGTGAAATTGCTGGCAATGAGCTATCATTTTACTATTACATCTGAAACTCACCCTGGATGTTCTCAAGTGTGTTTCTCGGGGTACCTTTACTGTCTTTGTCTTGTGGAAACTGTGAAAAGAGAGCCATGAGAAGAGAGCTTTCTGGAAAGATAAATTGTAGACTGCAGTTTCTTAAGAGATTGCAAACTCCAGGCACTTATTACCTTCAAGTAGAGAAAAGAAAGGCAAGTTAGACTTGTTTTCTGTTGCTGAGCAAGCATGATTCATGATCTTTTAAATAGCATTTTAGTTATTTCAATCCCAAAGACAGCCCACCTGGGATGCAGCTGCAGAGCGGCTGATCTGTAAAGGACAGCAGCTCGGGGGCTCTGGTGGCACCTTGGCGTGGATCAGCGCAGCTCCAGTGCCCTGCAGCTCAGCCTCCCTGCCAGCACCGCTTCTTGCCAGGCTGCTTCAGCATGGCCGGTACGTTTGGCTGCTTCTGTACTGCTCGTTTTGCCAAGTTCTCCACCTTACTGCAGGTCTCTGAATCTGCAGAGTCTCTGCTGAAACTGAGCACTCCTGACAAATGGGGGCATGGGCCATGGTGTCTGGCTGGCTGCAAACATTGAGCCATCTTTGTCAAGGAGCCAGCAAGCTTTCAAACCCTGGCCTAACAATCCCAAATGTGTCCTTATGAGAAGAGCGTGGCTGAGTTTCTTTTATTGTTTCCATTTGAAACATATCCTGCACTAAAACATTTTTGTGAGGCTGGAAATTCTTTGCAGAACCTGCTAATTATTTTCACAATCTACAGTCTGCTCTTACATTTCTAATTGCAACTATTAATCCTCACTCATCTACATGTCCTAGATCTGTGCAAGGCAATAACGCATTTTATGCTCAGCAGCACTCTGCCTCTTTCCTCATTTGTCAAAAGGATTATTGTACAGTCGATGCTGAATGTGAGGAATTAGCTGCATAAACTTGGCCACTAAAAAGAATTCCTGTGTATTACCTGAGCATCAGTATGTAAGCCGTAGTTCTCTTCTCAAATATTCAGACACATCTCACTAAGTTTCAGTTAGTCATACAAGTGGCAAAAAATAAAAATCAAAAACTGGAAGTGATTTGAATGCAGTTCTACCTTTGTGTCAAGGCAAATGGTATTAAAATTGTAGTTAATAAGGACTTGACTTTAGTCTCTTAATTCATATTTGGTTTTTAATCCATTTTAAAACGTGGCGAGTATGATCTGTTGCTTTCAAAATGCAGTCAGGTATCTACCTACAAATATTGACTCCAAAGGTCTGACAGATATTTATAATTACCAAACACTCCTCAACTGCTGCTAAGACAAGACAGCATCCCTGCCGCTGCATTTCGAGATGAGGAAGAGCAGTCAGCACAGAGCGGTACCCATTGCCTTTCAACTGTGTAGAAATGATGTGCTTTCCATTCCTCTCTTACAGCAAAGAAATTCCTCTTTTCTGACTAATGCATATTGTCTACCCAGGCATCTCTGAGTAGACAGATTTCAGTGAGAGTTGTTTGATGGTGAAATCTGTTAGTAGCTGCCTTATCAGAACACCAGCTGGCACTATCCCTACCATCAGTGCCAGAGACAGCAGCCAAATATTTTCTGTTGGCTAAGTATGAAGAAGTCTACTGAAGCATTCATTTATACTAAAATTTGGCCCATTATCTTCATGGACGGCCCTCAAGCTGCACAAAGGTCTGTTCACTTCTTGGCTTATGGTTATTCGCATTCATCATGCACTCTCTACAAGAAGACCACTGGGAGAAAAATGGCCTAAAAGGTACTCTGCTACTTACATCCTGCCTATTGGTCCTAGCTGCATCATGGCCAGACACAGCCAGAGCCTACGTGCCCCATTGTTGGTGTGCAGTTGGGTTTCATGCTCACTTCTCAGGTCATGCCACAACCTCTGCTCTGGGCTGCTGCACAAATCCAGCACCATGTCCCAGCTCTAACATTTTGTCTGTGAGGCTCATTGAGGTATGGGAGGGTCAGACTTCTCACATTCCTCTCCCATACCACCAATCTCCTGGTTTCTCCTGGGCTATCCCTTGAGCAGTCTGACCCTTCATTCCTCACACCAAATCACAGCTTCCTCCAGCAGAGACAGTGGGAATTCTCCTACCTGGCTGGCACGTGGCCTTCAAAGCAAGCTCAGCCCTTCCTTCAGATCAGGCCAGCTTCAGGGGTCAGTCTGTTGGACTCACTCCCAGTGGTCTCTTTGGGCTGTCCGACTTGGCAAGGAGGAGGTACGGAGCCACATGTGCTGGTTCTCCTCTCATATTCCCACAAACAGGGTACTGTTTGGTGTGATGGGAGTCCACACAGTACTCTCATGGTCCAGTTCACTTGCCACCACTGCAAAATTGCTTCCAAGCCTTTGTAGTTGGGTTAAATACAGAAGGACAAAATCTTTTCCTTCTCCATTATCTGGTATAAACTTTTCCAGATGATTACTCTTATCCTGCTAAAGCATGAAGGTTTATCAGCCTCGGGTTTAGTATACGTGGTAGAAGTAATTGGGGTGACATATTCTAATGGGAAAGCCTTAATTGAAAACGGTTTTACTCAGGAGACCAGAAAACAACCTCTTTCTGAAGTAGATCAGATCTTGCAAGAGGGACTGTGTGTTTTTTTCCTGTAGCACCTGCGGATGTGCAGGCAGCCATCCAGGCAGAAGTGTCATCATACTGCCTGACAATGACTCAACAGTAACTTGAAATCCAGCCGTGCTTTGCAGAGCTGCTTCTCTGCTCTATGTCTCCTTTCCTGTCTCACCCAAGCTGTTTAGCCACTTGCTTTCTCTTCCAAAAGGTGGCATTTATTCTAATTCTTCCTTCGTATTCACCCCATTAAGCTTCCGTTTGCAGTCATCAGCTGCTGAAGCACTTGACTGCACCACTAAGCAAGCCTCAGTGTTGGGCTTGTGCTGGAACAGTCCTGTGCCCTTCTTTATCAATTTGCTGACACTGGACTGATAAAACTTATCTTCTCTGGAGGCTGATGCAGGGCCTTTAAAACAAATTGAAATTCTCAGTATGTAAAGATAGCTCTGTTCCAAGAAGCGAGGACTCGCACTGCTTTAGCCTGGTGCGGTGTGTGGCCTCAGCCCAGGGACCGCACCCCAGGGCTGCTGGGGGAAATGCTGAAATAAGTCTGAAACACTGTTATGCTGCATCATATTAATTTATTTTTCATTCTAAAGTCTTTAGTAAGAGTGCCAAGAAAACTGAAAAAGAAGAGCACTTACCTGTATTTGAAATAGCAAATACAATGCTGGAGGCAGAAAAGTGTCTTCTGCAAGAGTAAAAACTCCTGTTGAATAAAAATCAGAAAAAAAAAAAAAAAAAAAAAAAGAAAGGAAAAAAAAAAAGGTATTACATTATTTTCTTTCCCACCCACAAATATATATATATATATAAATTATTATATTTTTATTATATTAAAAATTATGTGTATATAAAGTAGCAACGACTTAACACACAAAGGCTGGATGTAGTCTAACTTGTGAATTGAGTCCTGGATGTCTCCAAGGTGCATGGTGTGCCAGAAGGCATTGTAATGGCCATATGTACGTCTCCCTTGGAATTCGTAAATCCTAGCTACCTGAAGCCCTTTGAATAGATGTAGAGGCCTCAACAACATGCTGATGTTTGATATCCACACCAGTCCCTTAGACCCTATTGCTTTGACCATGTGGGGCGGACAAGTAAGCTGGGCACTATGCCCAGCCTTCTCCAGGACTGTCCTGGATGAACTGTTCATGGCAGTAGCTTCAGATGGAGTATAAACTCCAAAAGCTACTGTGCATGTGATCACACCCAGCAGAAGAAACTGTTTCTGATGCAAATGTAGGTCAAATCTGGCAAAAACTGTAGGTTGATATCCTCAGTAGTTTAAACAAGGTGAGTTGCAAGTAATCTGAGCTTCCAACAAGTGGGTTAGAGCTGGGTTAATTTTCCTCCACAGCTTGGCACCTGCACTGACCACCACTAAAACTGTCAAAGTGTAAAACTATTCTGTTTTAAAGCAGCTTTGTTTTGAAGACAGTTTGGAAAATACATGTAAAGCACAAAACAAAACAAACAAACAAACCCACAGACTGTATGATCAGTCTTTTCTGTGACAGTTTTTTAATTTCCCCAGCTTTCATTGAACCCTTTCATTTCTCCTTTTCTTATTGTTCAAAAGCACTTTTCAGGAGAACATATGTAATATTTTAGTGTGATGACAGGGTAGCATGTTCCTGTAGGATGCTGCTTGAATTTGGGAGTTTCGATTTTCTTTTCTTTAAAGATCAGGATCACACCATCATTTTGTCTTTCTTGTTTCTCTGTGATAATGAGTATGTGAAGGCTGCAATTTCCCTACAGCAGCTTTAGCTTCCTTTCTCATTTATCTTTCTTCTGACCATGCATTCGCATGCTTTCTTAAAGAACAGGCAAAGCCCAGACAAGAAAATACCCACACCTGTGGGCAGACATTGTCGCTGGTTTCCAATGAGGAAACCAGGTGCAAAATGAGGAAACCAGGTGCAAAAAGCCAGCAAGTGAACGATGAGGACTCAGAGGCTATAAAGGAGAGACTCACAGATGATGTAGGGGCACCTTATAGTGATATAGGCTGGAATGGTTGTCCTTTCTTCTCTTCAACCAGAGGTATTTTCTTTTCCTTTCTTTTTTTTTTTTTCTTTACCTGTGAGATTTATATTTGTAGCTTATAGCTTGTTAGTAGCATAAGGTTTAAGAGTATAGAAGAGTGGCTTTTCTCTGTGTGTTCTTTCCTGGCTTTTGGGTATTTTTCTCGAACCAATGAATCAACTTTCTGAGTTACTAGTTAAATCTTTCTTTCTTTAGAAGAAGATTTGAAGAATAACAACACACAAACAAGCACAAAACCTTTCAAAGTACTGCTTATCAAGGGCACTACTGCTTTCCATCTTTGTCTAAGACTTTCTGGGCTCAATGGTCCAGACATTCGGTGAGTTCAAAGAGTGGAAGAATCTGTAACATAAGAAGATGCAAGGCTTTCCTTTTACTTTATAAGATACCTAAAGTAGGCTAAGCTCTTACAAAAATACCATCCTAGGGAAGGTGTCAAATCTGAGGTTAATCTCAGCACTTTTCTTTAAGGAAAAACTTGGTGTAGATGTGAATTCAGAATTCCATCTAGAAGCAAAGCTTCTGCGACAGACCTGAGCTAGAACTGGTGTCCTGAGAGTTTCCTCTTCTTTTTGATGTTAGTGGCTGAATGTGGTGAAATTTGATAGTTGAAGCTCTTACAGCTTGATCTTTAGGATATAGAGAATGAAATATCTCACTCACAGTGAAGGGATTCATGGCTTCTTGTTTAATGTACGGCAGCATGAGCTGTAAGTGAAACCATAATTTAAGAAAAATACTTTTTCCATTGATAGGATCAGAGATTCTAACGGTCTTTGTTTAATTTGTAACAGTGGTGATCCTGTTCAAAAAGCAAAACAGTTCTGAAAAGGTGGGACTATCATTGATTTTTCTTGTTATTTTTATAAATGTCATATTTAAACCAGAACAAGAACAGTGCCACTGTTTCTCCTTTAATTGTTTGTACTACTGATAGGAAGGCAAGTGGGTGCTCCAAAAGCAACTATATTAAACTTTTATGGAGCATTGAAGAGAGCTAGGAATTTTTTTCCTCACCTGTTGAGGGGGAAGAAATGTTGTAACTTCACAGCTGATTAAATTGATCTCATAAAATATTAAGCATGAGTAAACTGAGTTTCTTCAAACCCTTTATGGTTAGCCACTGGTCATCTTAGGTTCTTTGATGTAAGTAAATTGTTAAAGGTGAATTAAAAATACATAAATTGATCAGGGCTTAAAACTAATGGGCTGCTTCTTGACAGGTACGGTCCTCCCACATCTCCCAGTAGAGCTGGGGCAAACACAGCACTTCTGAAATTTCAGTTGTAGTAAGGTTGTTTCTAACAAGCTCGTGCATTTGAGGTTTCTCTGATAGCCCCAGAGGCGCAATACAGAGAGGAGTCCTGGGACATCACTGGGGGAATAAAACCAGGAAGGGTGTGTGGACAAACCCATGGGTGGAGAGAAAAGAGCTGGAGGCAGGGTTCACAAACTGGAGTTAGCTCATCAGGTCTGTAACGTACAAAGACAAATGTCACCATGCTCCAAGCTGTTACCTGTGTTGTCTGGGTGAATTTGCATCCACTGCTTCTTCTGCTATGCCCCTATAGCACTGGCACTAAGGAAAAGCAGGACACAGAAGCAGAGCTGCTTGCAAAAACCTCCACTTTTTCTCTGGCAAGTGAGTATTTGAAGGAACCATACTGAACCAAAGCTGAGATTTGCTGATCCTAGTGTTGGTTAAATGTGGACTGGCATTTAAATCGTGTCTCCCCACTTATCTTGACTTTCTAAAGCTTTTTCAAGATAATTCTGTGTATTGCAAGGTGTATGGAGATAAAAACTTAAACTCCAGAAAAGGCTGTGTATTTTCCACAGGGAGAAACACAGGCATGGATGCCATCTGGTTGCCAACCCACTTGATGCGATTGCAGCCCAAGCCCATGACAGCAATTTCCAAAGGGCTGCTGTGACCTGCTCATACAGGTGCACATTATCTGTGTAACAATAATGCCTAATGTCATTCTGACTAGTTTAGGCTGAGCTGCACTGAAATGCAAAGTAAAACAAGCAGGAAACTTGAGCTTTCATTAACAGAAATGTGAAGGAAGATCCAGAGAGGGTTGAATTCTTACCTGAATTTATAGCCCAGAACTCAGTTTAGCACCAGCAGCTTCTGATCTCCCTGTAGGATGAGTTTTTTTCTCTCAACAATACATGCAATAGGAAGAAGCAGGTAGCAGATGATTGTGTATTCTCTTTCATACCTACTTTCAAGTTGAGATTGAAGGAAGCTCTCATTATGAGTTAATAGAAATAAGTTGCAGGGGGGATTTGGGAGGGGTCATTGTGAAAGTTAGGGAAAAACATGTTATTTCCAAAATGTATTTTAGTTTGATCCTGGGGGGGGGGGGGGGATCTTTAATAATGCAAATGTGTGCAAGAAGCAATATATTTTTACATTTTTCAAATATTAAAGCAATATCTCTCTTGCTACATCAGGATTTTGTTTTTCAACACCAGTATTTTCTTTCATTTATCAACACAACCTATTTCTTGCTTTATTCAGTTTTTATTTAGATTATGTCTCACTTGCATTTTGAAATATTCCACACTGAAATCCTTTTTCTCCTCTTTTCTGGCACCTGTTGCAGAAATATAAAAATAAATCAAAAGCTAGAGTCTGTGGCACTTACTGGGTGATAAGCCTCACTTCTTTCCTCTTTTTGTCTTACACTTGCTGTGAAAATGTTGCTGAAATGATCTATGTTTTAGGACCCTTTCTGTAAGATAAGAGGAAAGGAAGAAGTGAAATTGTGAGATAAGAGCTGGGTGTAGTGCCAAATACATTTTCCTCACAGAACAGGGTAAGTTAGCAAATAGGAATCTTGGGTTTGTTGAGGTGGTGTCCTTCGAAATCCAGCTCTGTTATGTTTAAGAGAACAAATGGCTTCAGCATGTGGTACTTTGTACATGGTAGGGCTGCTGCTGCTGCTTGCCTCGTGGTTTGTCATACAGGGATTCATTGATTGATGCCCTGCATGGGCACTAATTAGTTATGTATGTGAATGAGGGACATCCCCTGGCTCATGAAGCAGGACATTCTCAGCAGAACTTCACCAGAAGTCTCTGCTGGACGTCTTAGGGCTGCCCATCCTATGGCATCTGGAGGGTGGATGCCATAGGATGGGCAGCAGGCACAGCAAGCAGGGAAGAACTATGGCTCTGCAGCACTAGGGTGCTTACAGGTGGTGATGAAAGGTCACCTGTGAGAGTTGTGAGGAGGCAAATGCTGCTTTTCCTTTGAGCTGCCCCCAGGAGCTGGGTTATCACATGGAGGTGTTGTGTTAGCAGCTCTTTGTCCAGCTGTATGGGCTATCCCACGTTTAGACAAGCAACGTCGCATCCAAGCATGCTGTGTGTACTGTGTAAGTGGGCTCATGTTAATTCTGCCATCAGGAAAAGCCTCTAATGTCTCCTGAGCATTCGTCCCTAGATGCACAGCCTCCTGTGCAGCCCCAGGAGAGATTCCTAATGGACCGTGCTGCACAGCATGCTGTGCGTGATGATGCCTTGCCTATCCAAATCAAGCAATGTTTTGTAACTTATATCAACCTACCCAGTGGTTTAAAGCATTGTAGCACTTGTCTTGAACAAGCAATTTTTAATGACAATAGATCCTTACACTTACATATAGCTTGCCAGAAGCATGATTTTATTTCTTTTGTGACTTGCTTTTCTGAGTTATTTGTGAAGGAGCTCAGGATCTACACATCACTCAGATGCACAAGCTCGTTTTGTGAGTAAAATGTAGAAACACATGCCTGTGAATAACAGGGCATGTTGCTGGGCACAGGATGGCAAAAATCTCCTTGTGAGAAGATATTTCCACTCTACCCTATGAGATATTGCATTTTTGATCCTGATTAATGACTGAATAGTTTAAAAAGCACTAATGGTGTCTCTAATCAGGGCACACGTTCATAAAACATCAACTGTTGTGGAGTTTAGAGGTGCCCAGATGACAATAAGCCTCCCCAACCTGTTGAGTTCCACTGGATGTAGCCTTAAGAGCTTTGACCTGAAACCAGTGAAATGGCCACCCATGCTTTGAGGAGCTATCTCTGGATATTGGTCCATGATGGCTCTTTGGTCAAGCACAATGGGTCTTTAAAGGTGGAGTTGCTGAGCTATGGTGCAGGAATGATTTATCAAGATGTATGAGGCCAGCACTCTTATGTAGCACATCTGCTGGGTGGTAGTAATAGGGCTTTTGCCTGATCAGGGCTTTTCTGAATTTACTTTAAAAAAATTGTTCTGATAAATGTATTTGTCTTTTCTCTAAAAGACAACACGACAGTTGCTGAATATCTTTTTTTTTCTCTCAAAAACTATTGCGGATGCATGAAGAAATTTGTGTTTAAATATGAGAAATCTGAGTCTATATAAGTAGGTTAAAATGAAGCAAATAGGAAACTGTTTAATTTATGACTTTAATTCATGTTGTGGGCAAAGTGGCTGAACCAAAAGTGAAGAGCAGCAGTGAATTTAACAATGCAAAAAATGTTTTCCCTCTTTGAAGCCTGTTGCCACACACCAGGTTTGAATATCTATCTTGTAATGGTATTTCATGTTTTGAAGTATGACAAAGTGTGTGATTGCTAGTTGTGATTTCCAACAGTGAAAAGCAAAGATTGACATCTGGTAGGTTGTGGGTCTTTCTAAGCCAAAAAAAAAAAAATCAAGCCAAAATCACTGCTCAGTTGAAGTGTCCTTGGGAAAGCTAGTAAATGTTTTCAGCAACAGAACTGAAAAAGTGGATTTGACAACTCTTACAATTACTTTAAATGAAAAAAAAAAAATCCTCAGGAAAAGTATAAGGCTTTTTTGGAACAGTTATTGTATGCTTTGTGTACTTCTGCCATATGGCTTCTTCTCTTTCTCAAGAAGAGGAAAAAAAAAATTAGACTCGTTCCTAGCACAGATCATCATCGCAAAGATTAAGTGACTGGTCTATAAAAATGAAGAATGTGCAA